TCAAGAATTCGCCTATGAAACCACCTTCGACGTTCTAACAAAAAAAATTCCTTGCTAAAATTTGCATATATATAACACCTTGCTAAAATCTCAGGCCTCGCTCTAACCCTAAAGTTAATGAAATGAATCTTTTTATTGTTTTATCATTATTGACTAATTATACACCGGTGATGATCACCACCGGTTATTTAAAGTTAAATTCAAATAGAAATATGCTAGTATATTATTTTACAAAAAGCTTATTGTATTTATTATATATTTTTGCAAATATTAAGCAAATATTACAGAAATTAACTATTGTAATACTATTTCTACTTATTAAAATATTATAATTGTTATATACATTTCGCTTTATTTTTTTTTCATTTATAGTTTAGGCATTCTGTATATTATTCTTACTGATATCCCAATTCTTTTTCAACACCTAATTCACGAGCTCTTTCATAATTTAAAAGCTTTTGTTCTTTAAGTCTTTCTTTTCTTTCTTCAAGCTCTAATTGACATTCATCTAAAGATATTTGTCTTTCTAACTGAGTTAATAAATCTTCATTAGACTCATTAGATATTGATTTATTACGCTTCTTTTTATTTGTTAACTGTTTATTGGGTGTTCTTTTTTTGTCTGTTAAAATTTAAAATAAAATTTTTTAATAAATAAATAAAATTTATATATAATTTTAAATTTACTTACTATGTCACTTTATTGATTGTGTTGCTTTAGCTATAGGTCCATTATTTTTTCCAGTTTTCGGTACACCATATTTATCTTGAATTGCACAAGTTGTAAATTTCATGTTATCAAATTTTTGTGCTCTAAATTATTAAAATATTAAATAAAATTAGTATTATTATTGATAAATTATTAATAAATTTTATAAATAAAATAATATAGATTTACTTTTTAATTGCATTTAATAAGTTTAATCCTTTTCCTTCACGATTAATATCTGCATGTGCTGATTCTGAAACATTCGTAGTTTCACCTGCAATATTCCATATTCTCATATCTATTTGAGAATAATACCAATTTAAACTTGCTAAAATCCAAGAC